AATACACCCTTTATTTTGTATATTTAGAAATCATTTTTTCCTTAAAGTTACAACAATATATATTTTTTAAAAATAAAAATAATAAAATACTTTTTTGGGAATTAATTTAATTAAAATATTATTTCTTTAAGTGAAATAATTAATTAGTAAACAAAAAAAAAATTTAAAAATTAAATAAGAAAAATAATAATAAATGAGCCGAGCCGAGATGGCTTCAATGTTTAGCGGCGGGGAACTTTTTGTCTTCTGTGTTTGGTAGTGGGGGAAAGGTATCCCCCGCATGTGAGCAGTGCGGTTCGATGGCCACAACCAAACACCAACCCAGACCAAAGCCAAGGACAGACCCAACCCCGTATCCAAACAAAAACCTTTTTTGTTCCCCCAAAAAGGTTTTGTGGTGGGTCCCACACCCCTTTCGTCCCTTGTGTTTTAGGCCAACCGTGGAGGAAAAGAACTGTAGGAGATCCAAACGTTCGAACTATTCAAGGAACCCCACACACTTCCAAACGAACCTTCCACTTATGCTGGAATGCGGGTCCCACCACATATGCCATATAATTTTTTGACTATTTGACAATAATACCCCTCTTTTTTAATAAAAAAATTTTTTTTACTAAAATAAAAATAAAATCTAAATATTTCAAAATTAAATATCATAATCAAAATAAGCCCAAATAATAGTAACAATTTACACACACCCAAATATTTATACATATATATATATACACATATATTTGGTAAACAATATTATATACATGAATCTTGCAATGTATCATGGTTTTGATGAAAATACATTGTACCCTTTTAAAAAAATTTGATATAGAATCATAAATAACTTGCAATTTTAAAATTTTATAAGATATAAATATGTACCGAATAATATTCAAAATTTAAATAAATTTAATATTTAACTTGATTTTTTAGGTTTTATAAGAGGGAATATAATTTTGTCATTAATGAAATTTAACATATTAGTAGATTCATTTAATTATATTCAATTAAAAATTAAATATTTTAAATAATGAAGATTTAGAAAATAATTAAGAATATACTAAAGAAATATAAAATATAAAAGGTGAAATAATCACAAAAACTTAATATCTATTTAATTAATATTTACATTTTTTTTGTCTTAATTTGCAAATAAACTAACATGTAGGTTTGGATTTATAACACGGTAATTGACAACTATAACTTCTTATTTATTTCCATTTTTAAAAAAAAAGGAAAACTAGCTAGCAAATTAAAAGTGCCATGCAAATTTACATTACTACCCTCGATATATATATAAAAAATATAAAATATAATATTTTTATAAAATATATGATTATATTTATATTTGAATTTATTTTAAATTGATTATTTGAACTATACTAAATTTTAAATTAGAAAATTAATTAATATTTAACTTAATTATGTTATGTATGTTTATTTTTTTATAAAAAAATTATAAATTCGAGTAGTATTATATTTATATATGTATGTTTTTATTTAAAAATTATTCTATATTGTGTTATATTTGATGTCTTTGTATAATCTAATTGATGAATATATATATACCATATATTTTAAAAAAATTTATAGTTAATATTATATTACTTTTTATAATAATAATAAGGTTTTAATAAAAGCTAGATTGAGATTGTTTAGATTTGTCTATTAGCCCGCATTAGAAAATTCACTACAAAATTAAAAAAAAAAAAAATTCCCAATTTCCACGTGTCAAAATGCAACCATCTCAAAACCTAACCTGTACATATATATATATATATAATATGCATATTTTCCAAAGCCCTGTTTCGTAATTTTAGGTCTCAACTGACCTACTCTCTTTTGCTCCAAACCGTTCCTTCCCTTCTTTTACCAACCCAACCAACTTTCTATTTTTCAAAAATTAAAAATATGAAAAAGAAAATAAATGGTAAAAAAAACACACCATGGCTGTTCTGCCACATCATCAGCTCGCCGGAGCTGCCACATCATCCGCTCCTGTGGGTCCCCATAAGTACGGACGACGCCACCACATATATATAGGATCTCCAACCCCCCCAGCGAAGCCCCTCCGTTTCATCTGCAACCCAGCCCTTCGCTTTCACCATCTTCCCTTCTCTCTCTCTCTCTCTCTCTCTCTTGCGAAAACTCCTGATAGATTCACCGAAAGTCCGGCCGGAAAGTGATCATATACGACCAGATATCTCTGAGTATCAGTCAAAGTAGCGAGAGTTGAAGCCGGGGAAAAGAGCAACATTAGTAGTCTGTGGAGAGCTTTTGAATTCGATAGATGCCGATGGCGGCAGGGGCAGCATCGCCGGCCGATAAGGCGGCTCCGAAGGCGGTACCGATGCAGGAGCCGGAGATGGAAACGGAGGTGAAAGACGCGTTCGCCAAAGACGCGATCATCGCCTGGTTCCGCGGGGAGTTCGCGGCGGCCAACGCCATTATTGACGCTCTGTGCGGGCACCTGGCTTATGTGGCGGGTGGAGCGAGTCCAGAGTACGAGCCGGTGTTCGCGGCGATCCATCGCAGGAGGCTCAACTGGATTCCTATCCTCCAGATGCAGAAGTATCACTCCATTGCTGACGTGGCGGCTGAGCTGCGGAAGGTGGCCGCAAGAAAGACGGAGGAGCTCGAGGAAATCAAGACGAAGAAAGAGAGCTGTCACGAGGAGACGAAAGCTTGTATGGATGTTGAAGAGGAGAAATTCGCGGAGAAGTCGTCGGGAGATGACGGAAATGGTGTTGGAGAAGAAGTCGAGGATGATTCTCCAGCTAGTGATATTACTGATTCAGGTAAGTCCAGTGATAACTCTTTCTCTTTTTGTTCTTTTTTTTTTTTTTTCCCGTTTTGGAATCTCTAACCGAAATTATATCTGTGATTTATTGAGAGATGATCGTTTTCTTGTTTTTGAATACCTGATGTTCGTGTCTGGTGTTTGATTTGACTGAATGTGAATCCAAATTTCATTGAATTTGGGTGACTCCAAATCCGCCGGAAAAGCATTGAGAGGACCATCAAACCTCTTAATTCGAATACGATTCCTCAGTTTTGTTTCTTCGGCCTTGACAATCTTTTTTTTTTGGATTCAAGGTCTTCACAATTTTAATCTATGATTAATTTGGCCATCCAATTCTCCGTGATAAGGAGCTCAATCAATGACAAAAGGACAAAGCATTGTTTTTTTTTTTTTCAAAATAATGATTGAAATAATCTTTTCTTTGGTTTTTGAGAAAAAAAAGTGAGGAAAAAAGGAAGGTGCTCCTGAAATTCTACGGTGTTCCACTTCCATAGAGGAAATAAGGAAGAGCACTCATCAGCTTCTTTTCAGAGTTTTGTTTCTTTTTTGTTTTTGGTGCTTTTGAAAAACTGTGAGAAAATTCTGTTATTTTCATCATTTTCTCACATTAAACAAACAGAAACCGTGCTTTTCTCCTTTGTATTCGAGATTTCAGCTACCGATCGAGAATTTCTGGCTCTGAACTCAAATTTGTTGTTTGGTGATGATAATGTTGCTTTTGATCTGTTCAGCGTTGACAGATTAGATTCTCTGAGAGAAAATTCTGAAAATTTCCAAATTTTTTTTTTATCTCTGTTTTGTTTTCTGTAGCGAACAAGGAAAATTAATAGCAGTAAAATAAAGCTGATAAAATACCAAGTTGCGGTTATTACTTTCCGTAGGTTTAAGAAGGGTTTGAGAACCTCGAGGTCAGGGTCAGGATTGTCTGCATCCGGTGTCATAGTTAGTTTCGGGACTAGCAAATACGTTGGCGTGATCGCCTAGGGATGTGTGCAATGATTTTATTTCAGGCGGCTTTTCGTAAAAACCGTCTGATCTTAAGATGATGTCATGGTATGCATTATTGACGTTAGTGTTTCATCTGGTCCGGGTTGCTGGGTCTTGGGTGTTGACAATTTGGGTGCCGATCCCGAGATAATAGATTTTGACAAACAGTGAGTCGACTCGTTTGACTGGACCGGATTTGGCGGGTCCATTACGGGATCTGTAGCTGAGGCGAGCGGTTCAATGAAAGAAGGTAGAGAATTGGAATTGGGAGAAACGAAAGCTGGTGTTTGGATCGGTAGATTAACTAGTTCTGACGGGGAATAAAACTACACCACTGTCCTGTTACGATGATTTTCACTCAGATTAGGTGTCCGTTTCTGGTTCCACATGGTACATCGTGCAAGGTGACAGCTGTTTTGTGAAGGCTGCAACGCTTCCTGTTCTGGAGAGATTTTTGTTTGGGTTATGGGAGTGCAGCCCTGTCAAATTATCATTTAGGCTGCATGAATTGTTATAAAATTACATCAGTTTTTTATGAATTTTTTTTTTTTTAAAAAATACTAAATGACAGTGTTCCAAATTATTTATGGTTTGAGAGTGTTTAATAATTTTTTCACCTTTCCAAGAGTTGGAAAAAAAAAATGATATAAAAATAAATAGTATAAATAAAATAAACGTGAATATAAAATGAATTGATAGAATTACATCATCTTAAATAAAGTCTTAGTATATTATATTGAAAGAGTTGTACCTTATATAGTTCTTTTATACTATTATATCAATTAGAATTGTTAAATCTAGGAGTAGGGTTGCACATATTGATGGTTCTGTGCTAATATCTATGATTGGGTTGTGATGCTGAGACCTAATTCGTATACCAAGGTGCTAGAACATGCCCAGTTGGCCAAAGACTTCATTTCGGCAAGACACCAATGCATTGCCTAAGTTCATACCCAACAACAACAACTCCAATAACCTATAAGAAGATTGCTCAATCCAGTAAGTAACCACCCTGATAAATGAACCTGAGTTGCCTTTCTCCTGACTCTACCTCCACCTACTAGACAGCCTGCTAACCTTCCCAACCATGTCAACATTATGGTCGCTGACATGGTAATCAGGCTGCGATTCAATAATCAGTTATGCAGTTATTAATTAGCATAAACTTTTAATCAAAATTATCTTTTTTATTTCATGACAATAAATTTTTTTTTTTACAAAATTATTGTTCTTGCTTACTAAACAAATGAAACATCATACCATAAACATGAAACTATAGTTCTTGTTTTTCTCTTTTTCTTTCATAAAATAGAAGACCATGGACTGACTTATAATATGTTTGGAGTGAATAATTTTTTGGTTTTCTATGTTTCAAATTTTGATAAAAATATGACTCTTAAATGAATCTAATTCATGTGATTTATACGATATGATACATTTATCTTATATATATTCTTTAAATTTACATCTATATCTCAATCTCATTTTAAATATTGTGTTACGAAATCATTAATTCTTAATTTATATATATATTTCTTTTGGAAAGGGAGACAAAAAATAGTATTTTAATAGTAAAAAAATAAACTTTAAATTATTTTTTAGAATTTTGTTATGTAGAAATAAGAAAAAGAATAAATTGATATTACTTGCATAAGTTGCTCTATTATATATGCTTATGTGATTAATTATCATATGATTTCATATTTCAATATTTTATTGGATTTATAGGATCTCAGGAATTGCAACATTCTATTGAAAGTATTGAAATATGCTCAGACCATAAAGATTGTAGTTCACGAAATTCTCAAATCAAGTTGACAAAAGGTTTTTCAGCTAAAGAACAAGTGAGAGGACATATGGCAAGTTCTTTTCTTTACAATTTAATTTAGAATATTTTTTTATTATTTTTTAATACAGAATATGTATTCAGTTAATAATATATATTGTGAAAATAAAAAGTGCAGTTGATTATTACTGATTGTTAAGTAATTACAATTGGCAGGTGAATGTTGTGAAAGGACTAAAATTGTATGAAGACATATTTACAGAATATGAAATATTTAAATTGACTGATTTTGTGAATGAAATTCGGGTTGCCGGCCAGAACGGAGAACTTTTAGGTAATTTTTCTACTTTAGAACTTTGTTCTCATAATCTCTTTTATTTATTTCATAGTTTTGATTAACTTCCTTATTTACAATTTATTATAAACTAACAACGTCATATCTTTTACTTTCTTAATATGTATTAATTGATTGTAAATAAGAAATTTATCACTAACAGCTCAATATTTTTTAAAGTCCGGTCGAAGTAACCTAGAAACACAATTTAATAAGTTAGTGAATATGGAATAATAAACCTCTGAAAGTAGGAGGTCCACCTGGGGCCATTAATCTGTATTTTCAGCTTTAGGATTATTTTGCTTTATATGTACATTTCAGGTTAAAATCATATACATATATGGATATAATGTTTTCTTATTCATATTCTAATTCTATTTTTATAGTATAATTTTATAGAGTGAAGAATTCATAACTTTCCAATATTTGTTTATAACTATTTTATTTTTTTATTATAATAATTATGTTTATGTAAATTAAAGTTTATGGAATAACTCCTCTCAAAAATAAATGAAGGTCATTGAGACCTTGTTGAACTTTTTATTCACGAATTCAAGTTTACTTTTCTCATATTGCAGGTGAGACCTATATTTTGTTCAACAAGCAGGTCAAGGGAAACAGGATTGAATTGATCCAATTTGGGGTTCCAATTTTTGGTCACATAAAAGATGAACCCTCTGGTGACAACCAATCAAGTAAGTAGACTTCTGCATCTTAATTCTAGTTTGGTTTTTCGCCCTTTATCCTGTATGTATGCTTGTTAATATGCGTATTATATTGCCGGTTTCAAGGTAATATTGTAATAGATTATTCTTGTTTGCAGGTAATAATCTCGAGCCAATTCCACCTCTTCTCGAAAGTGTCATTGATCACTTAGTGCAGTGGCAATTAATACCTGAATATAAAAAACCAAATGGTTGTATCATTCACTTCTTTGATGAGGTAATTTTTTTTTTTTTTGGGTACATCATCGAGTTCATTTCTTTATTATTGAGTAACTATATAATAGATTTAAGGTTATTCAATATCATTTGATTGGCATTTTAGGCGCGAATCTCTTAACGTTCAGTTCCATACAAATAAAGAAGCTATGGAAGAAAGTGACAATGGTGCATGTATTGTTTGCAGGATGAATATTCACAACCTTTCCTAAAACCACCTCATTTGGACCAGCCTATCTCTACTCTCCTACTTTCCGAATCAAGCATGGCTTATGGGCGCATTCTTGTAAGTGATGGTGATGGAAACTACAAGGGACCACTCATGCTTTCACTTAAAAAGGGGTATGCTTAAAGTTACTGCAATTTTATTTTGCAGATCTGAATATTATTCAGTGTTGGATATCCATATCTCCATCCTTAACACCATGTGTTTCATCTGTTTGTCATGATAAAACTAAGTCCCCTGAATCACAATCTTGTAGGTCTCTGTTAGTAATGAGGGGAAACAGTGCTGACATGGCAAGACATGTAATGTGCCCATCTCCAAGCAAAAGGGTCAGTATCACATTCTTCCGAGTTCGTCCTGAGTCTATCCAACACCAGGCTCCACCAACTACTCCCCAGGCTGATGCCATGACTTTGTGGCAACCAGCCGTCCCAAGCCCCTATCCAATGCCAAATGGAGCTCTCAATGGCTACGAGTCCATGAATGGGATGTCCAAATGGGGAATCCTTCGTGCCCCTGTGGTCATGTTGACTCCAGTTCGTCCTGTGATGCTGAACCCTAAAAGTCTCGATCGGGGTGGAGCTGGCACCGGAGTCTTCTTGCCATGGACAGTCGCTTCGAGGAAGCCTACCAAACATCTTCCACCTCGTGCGCAAAGAGGACGTCTTCTTGCATTACCTTCATCAAGCAAAACACATGTGGCAGAGTCCACATCTGAGGCAGGTATCAGCATTGGAGGTTAGTGAGTATTTGAATTTAGCCTCTCAGGTAGTGCTGGGCCAAAAGCGAAAAATTGAATCAACATAGATATTGCTCATGTTACTTGACTTCTCACTCAAGGAAGCTGCCTAAATGTACAAACAAAGGCCCAACTGCCGCTAGAGGTCTTCCTTTTCACTTTCAATTTTTTTTTTTTTTTCTGTCTTTGTGACTTAGTAAAGGGTTAGTTTGTTCTCTTTCATTTTCATTTTTCTTTTCTCTATGTCTCTTTGTGAGTTTAGTAAGTTTTCGGTTCTAGAGTTCTTGGAGTATACATCTTCGATGCCAACCATGATAAGGCATTAGCATTAGTTGAGCTTTAAATCTGAGGCTTCCAAACAATAGAGATAATTTTGTATCAAGTTATTTAATTAATCTCTCTTTCTTCAATTTCATTGATGGTACCTTTTTGTTTTTTGCCTCTTCCATTTGTTCCTGTACAATTTCCTACTTTTCTCACTCTAAGATATCTTGATGAACATAAATTCGGGGATAAAAATGAGAAGGACATTTTTGTCTGCGGCCTCTAACAGAAGGGTCAATAATCTAGAAGTTCTTTTAGAAATGAAATACACAAGCTGGATCAGTATAGAGAATTTCGAAAGCTTCACTATGCATGAAGTCAGAAGTAACCAAAAGAATGCTTCTTCGAGTGGTAAATTATCGATTCTTAAGCCATAGGTTCCAAAATTTCTCCTCCTATATATGTACACACACACATTGCAGCCGCAAGCACAAGCAAATCACACAGGAAAATCAAATGAAAAATTATTTCTTAAGCTATAGGTTTCAAAATCCATAAGGACACACAAATAGGAACGAAAAAGAGGAATATTATTACAGTTGCTCAAACTTTGAGCTATTAACACTTACAAGTACATAATAATGAAACATATTTGCAGTCAAAACCAAATCAAAAGGGTTAAAAAGAAGAAAAAAAAAAAAAAAAAAGCTCCCAAATTTCTATGTTTCTTAAACTTCATAATAAATATCCAATATGGACGAAGTTTAGAAAGGAAAAAAAAAAAAAAAGAGTACAATGCAGTGAAATGAAAAAGATTTAAACTTGACAATCAAAGTTCAGATCAAGCTTTAGCCGGCTCATCATCATCATCATCATCAATATCCCAACTCAAGTCTTCATCTTCCTCTGCAGCACTCAGCCGCTTCCGCAGTTCAGCACGATTAGGGCTTCCACTGTGGGTCACTTTCTTCTCATCAATACTACTCAGATCCTCAATCTCATCCCATCCCATGTCTTCTTCATCAGCTACAGAAGCCTGGCTGGCTATAACTGAATTTTCACTGCTTTTATTACTTGATTCCCCCGCGGTAGTTGCAGAAGCAGCAGCCTTCCCTTCCGATTTCTCACCAGATTTCAAATCGAAATCTTCCTTAACCAACCCAGGATTACTCTCAGAATGCACGTTTTCATCTGCAACACCAGACCTTTCATGCCCTGATTCTTTAACCAAAATCTCCTCTTTAACTATTTGCTCAGAGACTCTATTGCCCGATGGTGAATCTTTCTCAACCTTGGATGCCCCGTTGTTAACTTCGCTGACAACTACAGAGTTTCCAACTTGGGATTCAACAATTTCCACGGAATCTTTGTTACCCACTATTTCATTCTCCTTCGACCACATCTTGGAACCTGAACTAATGCTGTCCTCCATCTCATCATCATCAACATCCCAACTTAACTCCTCCTCCTCTTCCCTCGAAATCGCTCTCTTCACAAGATTAGCCCTCACATCCTCAGCTTGCTTAAGCTTGTGCACTTTATAGAAATACCTAGACCAGAAGGTCTCCTGATCGACAGTATTAGGAACAACCTTATTGTATACACTCTCCATGGACCCATTCTCCTCCAACAATCTCTTCATTTCCTCTCTCTTCTCATCTAGAACAAACCCTAACTTCCACTTTCTGTATTCTTCCACATCCTCCGGTTCCTCGCAGTACGTATTCGCATCACCTTGAATTGCGCTAATCTGAGATTCGAATCGGCTGTATCGTTTCGAGCTCAAACTCCGATGAGCACCATGATTCTTACTGCTATTGGTGTCGGATGAATCGGATTCGTTATCAGCGGCTAGGATTGCGTCCTTACCTTGGGAGATGATCTGCGCGGTTCCTTTTAGCACGGTGCTTCCAAACTCATCAATGGCGTGTGTCACGGTCTCGAGCGACCCCTGCGCCACTTCGATCTCCTTCTTCAGACCTGTGCCGAACTCTTGGAGATCACGACGGTAAGTGTCGATCACCGATTCGGACTTAGTTGCAAGGGTTTTTATCAGACTCCCGAAGCTCCAAGCACCGGCTATATCAGTACTAGGTTTAGTCTCGGGGTTCGCATTTGGTTGATTAGGAGACGAATCCGGCTCTGGATTTTCTGGTTCTTCCCCCATTTGGGAAGAATCGGAATCGGAATCCGTCTTGGGCAGTTCTGGTTCATCTGCAAAGACGGATTTGAAGAAATTCATGTTGGAAAAATTTAGGGTTTCGGCTTCACAAGAACGTGGAGAGAGAAATTGGGGATTTCTGGATGTGAAATTGAAAATGAAATGTTTACTTCAGTTCTCCCCTCTTCGCGATCAGATCTGGGTGGACATGTCACACGGTGCGTTTCGGCGTTGGGTTCGACCGGGTAGATGGGTCATAATTCGGTGATCCACTGACCCGTGTATGGAACTTGAAATCATGAATAAATAAAATCGAAATTACTAAACTAAAATATTAATTTATTGGTATAAATTCAATGAATTAATTAAAGTAATTATTTTGAGTTATTTTTAAAAAATCGAAACAATTGAAAAAAATTAAAAAAAAAGATGTTTTAAATAAATAAAAATGTTAAATATTAAATTATAATAAAAGATATTAAATACTAAATAATAACTAGTACCAAAATTTAAAAATTAATTTAGTAATTTATCCTTTAAAATGTATGTATTAATTACAACATGTTTGAATTTAATTTGATTGAAATTCAACTAGGATTTAATTTAAAAAATTGGCAAAAAATTTCAAACTGAATTCAGTTAATAAATTGAAATGGAGTTAAACCAGTGTATATTAAAATATTAAATTAAATTAGTCAATCTCGAATTTGATATTTAATTTAAAAATTGATTAACATATATTTTATTATTGCGTAAATAGTAAAATAATTTATCTACTATTATAATCTTTTTATTTTATTACGTTTTTTTTTTGTTTCGTTCAAGCTTTTAACAATTAAAATTTTTCTAAATAAATACTGATAGTTAGTTTCTGTTAACCAATTATTAGTCAACGTTATGTGTAATACACGGCAAGCCCAATGTCGTCTTCCACCTAATAAATAAAAAAAAAGGACTCACCCGAGCCCAAACTGCAGGCCTTGCACGAACAATCTCCCTTTCCTTCTTCTTATCTGTAACACAATAAGGGTTTTGAGGATGAGGTTAGTAGAAAGAAAATGGGAGGAAGCTAGACTGAGAAAAAGAGATGAAGTGACTCTCGAAATGGTAAGGTGATTGAGATGATCGTTGTTGTGTTGACGTCGATGGAGACAAGAGGTATTATAAATTTTAAACATTGAAAATAGAAATTTGTAGTTAAATCCTACAATGTGATGAGTACTTGTGTAATGAACCCTAGAAGAGAGAGAGAGTGGGCCAACAGAGAAGATAGGGAGCCAGGAGCCGTGAAATCTTAGAAGAGTTGGTGAGGAAGGAAACTGAGAGGAGGAGGTATGGTAGGTGAAATGGTGAGGAACTCAAGCGGGAGGGAGGAGCAAAAATGAGACTGGAAAAAATATATACACGTCTATGTCAGTAAATGTATATGCGCCAGAATATCACCAGAGAGAAATAA